GTGAGCCCCGCAGCTCCGTGTGTATGTTACACCCCCTGAGCCCTGCCAAGAATCCTAGCCCCATGCGGGGGGGGGGGGGGGGTGTGGGGGGGTCACTCACTCTTCCGGGCAGGGCAGGGCTGTCATTGGCTCATCCCTGGACCAATCCCTGAAGTCAGGAGAATGCAGCACTTTCATTGGTCAGGTCTGTGTCACATGTCAGGGGTGGAGTTAGGCCCCCAGGATAAACTGGTTTTAGAGGTAAGGTTCCCCAGCGGGATTCAGGAGAAGGAAAGGGAATAATAGATCCTAGCCAGGAGGAGCCACTAGCTGTCTGCTACGGCTAATGTTATCACACATCAAAAATTTAAAAACCGTAACTGAAGCAATGGTCTCAGAAGATTTCTCTGGGGAAGAGTTTTGTGTGCTCTCAGTTTGCTGTTCTTTTTTGTTTTCTGACCAGCGTAATACTAAAATTCAACACAAATTCATCTGTCTTTAATTGTTTTTATCTCTTATGTTTAAAAATAACCTTGGGGTACCTGGGTGGCTCAGTTTGTTGAGCATCTGGCTTTGGCTTAGGACACGATCTCACAGCTTGTGGGTTTGAAACCCACATCAGGCTCTGTGCTGACAGCTCAGAACCTGGAGCCTGCTTCGGATTCTGTGTCTCCCACTCTCTCTGTGCCTTCCCCACCTGCACTCTGTCTCTCTCTCTCTCTCTCTCTCTCTCTCTCTAAAACAATAAACATTAAAAAAAATTTAAATAATACAAAGTAAAAATAATCTAATTTTTTACAGTGTATTGTCTTCCATTTCTATGGGAGATCTACGGGATAAAGATTTTGTATCTTTAAATCCTGTTACAAACAAGGATACATTTAGAAATGTAAAAGGGTATAAATGCTCAGAATAGACCGCTGACTATTTTATGGTCTGTTTTTCTGGAAGTAATTATTCAGTGAATGTGTTGTCCTTGCTAGGTTTCTGTGTCTCACAAATCTCCCTGCAGATGGCTTAACCCCAGGGCTGCCCCCAGAAGTGTGGGGAGTGGGTTCCCCGTATGGGGAGGTGCTGGTTTGTTCAGCTTGAGGCGTGGTGGGCTTGGGCCAGAGTCCTACCTGCGCCCAAATCTTGAGTGCTTCCTGCTTTGACTGCCATGTGCTGTGTGAATATTGGTATTTTCAGCACGTGCCATGACATGGAAAAGAAAGACTGGGATACTTCCTAAATTTTTTAAATAGCGTTTGGTCTCATAAATGGGAGGATAAAGGAGTTTTAAAATGGTTAAGATGGCTCCTTGCATCTCATGGGTACACTGGTCGTATTTTTATGTAGCGATTGGTTACGTTTCTGTTGTCTTCAGCAAGAATCAGCCTTTACATTTTCCATTCTCGGATCAGTTTGGGGAATTTGTGGTTTGCCAGGAAATCATTAGTTTCCTCTGTGTTCAAAGTTGTTGCTTTACAGTTGCTTGTGGTATAATTCTTCTTATGCTTAATATTTATTTTAATCTCCTGTATATGTGGTCACGTTTCCTTTCCCATGTCCAGACTTGTATAATATTGTTCTTTCTCTCTTTGCCTTTTTCAGGCTTTGGAAGGAGTAGATCTGTTTTCTTTCTCTTTAAAAAAAAAAACTACCGTTTGGATTTGTCCCTTTTCTACCTTGTTTTTCCCTCATTCCATTAATTTCAGCTTTTATCTTTATTCATTCCTTCTTTCCTGGTTTCTTTGAGGGCATTTTGTTCTAATATTTTAAGGTGGTGGTGCTTAGCTGCTGATTATATTTTTTCAAAGCACAGTGTGGTGGTTTCGGTGGGCATGGTTCTTCCTTCTTTATACACAATTAATTAGTATGTAATTAATAGTATATACTTGCAAATGAGTGTCATATGAATGTCTGTTGAGAATTCACATATCTCTGTACCAGCCATTAGAAATCATTTGTAAGCCTTCAAATTCATTGGGTTCTCTAAGCAGCAGAATCGTCAATAGAATTTAGAGATCCTGTAGAAGCCGGTCTAGTAAATCAAATACCATTTCAGCAGCGAGACTGTAGGCAACAAGTTGTTTTCTTTCATATCTCAGTTGTCATTTTTTTCAGTTTCCAGGAAAGCATTCTGTAATAGCCTAAATTGTACAGGAAATAACTGTCATTCAGAATCGCCCGTGATCCTTTTAAACACAATAATTCCAAGTGAAATAGAGAAGATGCAGGCCTGTCTCTTCTCTTTCTGAGAACCACGGACAAACACCAGTCTGTTTGGTTCACCGAAGCATCTGATTGTTCGCTCTCCCTTTGTTTACCACAGCCTAAAACATCATTCTGTTTCCTCAGTTATGAAGTTGCCCTGCGAATAGACAGCATCTTATCATTCCTAGTCCCATTTTTATTCCCCCAATGAGGGGAAGGCAAGTTGCCATGATAAGAAAATATCAGGTATTCCAAAAGACTACCACATGTTCATCTCAAAGCCACTAAGAACCCATCGGAGGGGCACCTGGCTGGTTCTGTCGGTGGAGCATGTGACCCTTGATCTCAGGGTGGCGAGTTCAAGCTCCACTTTGGTGTAGAGATTACTTAAGAAAAAAGAACCCATTGGAAAGAGTTCTAATACTGCTCAGCTGTTTGGAATTTTAATATTTTCTAACAAATATTTGCGGTTTTTTTTCGTGCTTTGATGAGGACTGAGGGAAATCAGCAATATTATACCTTCATCACCATCATTATTTTCAGAAGAATTAGAGCCATTCATACATTCTTATGCCAACAAGGAAGGCTTCCATCCGTTGGGGACATAATGATACCTGGACGATATTTTTGTCTAAATAGAGCTGGAATACATTGAAACGGTGGTTTGTAATTAAAAATAAAAGTTGATTAAAATTCAAGTGTCAGGGCACCTGGTTGGCTCCGTCGGTTGAGCATCTGACTTCGACTCAGGTCCTGATCTCACAGTTTGTGGGTCCGAGCCCCGTGTCAGTCTCTGCGCTAACAGCTCGGAGCCTGGAGCTTGCTTCGGATTCTGTGTCTCCTGTCTGCCTCTGCCCCTCCCTGCTTATGCTCACACTCTCTCTCAAAAATAAATGAATAAACTTAAAAAAAAAAGTCAAGTTTCTCTTAACCACAAAGGTGCACAAAGGTATGTTGTATCTCTGT